AGGGACTAGCTCCGCGCGAAACGGGTCTTTTCCGCTACGGCGAAGCGGGGACCCTCTTAAAAATCACAGGCGGATGAAGCCTGTGACCATGGGACTCGGCGGGCACCCTTAGCACCTCCCCAACCTGCAAAGGAACCCACTAACGGGCTCCGAAGCGAAGAGGGGGAAGTGGCGCGGTGCTGTGAGTCAACTGCTATTTCCGTGGAGCGAAGCCGCACAGCCGTTGCCGGAGAGCGCTGCCTTTTTCCTGGGACAATTTGGCTTCTAAAATAAGCACCCGTGAGTACTTAAACTTTGAACAATTGAACTTTAAATAAGGACTTGCGACCAGAAAGGAATTGGACTTAAAAATTTTATTTCAATTTGGTACTGAAACGGGAAGGTCTAAACAGGAAGTCAGCCTTCCGTTTCTTTGTAGACAGAATAAAGCAAAGACAACGTAAACTAGAGCTCAGAAAATCACTTTTAAAGGATTGGCTTTCATCATTTAAAATTGTTGAACCCCCCCTTCGGCAGCAGGAGAAGAAGGGGGATCTTTTCTGGAGTGTTTAAACCTGCAGAAGTGAGTTTAAAGTGAAGTAACTTTCCATCGTCCTGACCCTGGAGCGGGGTGTCAGGACTGACGTTTGAAGCTCATTGACCAGAGACAAACGCTTTTGACAGATAGCTAAAAGAAGAGAAACATAGTGATTCCATTGTTTCCTTTCGCACCTTAAAGGAACAAATATTGACAAAATATCTGGAAAAAGGAAACTCTGTTGCTAGACTTGTCTTTAAAAGAAAGATTAAATAGAAGTTTTCCCCCAGAGGGAGACTGTGAAACTGTAACCAACTCCTGGGAGCTGGCAGCTGTTACAGATTACAATCGTGGGAACAGACATCTGACCTTCAGGACAATGTATTCAGAAGCTCTGTTGTGTGCTTTCTATAAAACAAATGCCCTACTGGAACAGCTACATGAGAAGACGAATTTGATGGCTGATTCGATTAGAAATTTTGAACAGGCAGTGGGAAATTTTGAACAGGCAGTGGGAAAATATGTGGAGCCCACCCAGGAATTAAATCAGGGTGTGCCCTGACAGAACAGGCCCAACAGGAATATGAACTTTCGGATTTGACAAATGAACTTGGAAAAAGCCAAATTTGGAAAGAAAAAGTTTGGTTTGGTTTGGAAATGGGGGGTTGGATAGACCCTCCTATGCAGGGATATCTGGACTTTTCAAGTCTGGCAATGGGCCGTGAGATGTTTGGGATTGTGGGGGCTCTCAATTTTGGAGGGATTTTGAAACATGCTTTTAAATATCACATGGAATTTAGTGTCGATTATGGAAAAGGGGCTGATCTGTCGAGAAGGGTCAAAAATATTGCTAAGCTGGAGTTCCCACGAGTGAAACGAGCAGGAGACAAGGGAAAATACAGTTACAAATATGAAGAAGAGCTGCGGAAGGGACATGGAAGAGACTTAAGGGCCTCGGATATAAGATTACCAGGTTAATGTGCCAGATCGATGGGATAACAAGGACTGACAAAACCCGGGACCAGGAGGAAGGGACGCTGGATGAAGATTGGATTTGTTTTTATTTCTCTTTTTCACTACTAGGACTGTTTTACAAAGTTGATGAATGTTAGAAAAATGTTGGAATGAAATTACTTGGCTTTAGTAAAAATGTTGAAAGAATTATGCAAGAATATTATGGTTATGAGAGGATGGTAAAAATAAGATTTAAGTTTTAAGTTTCAAGGTTTTTTATAGTAAGATAAGATTAAAATAGTTTAAGGTAATGTAATGACAGAATATTATGAAATATGGAAAGGATTTGCTGTGACAATTAACAACCAGGATACAAGGAAGGGGAGGAGGAGGAGGTCAAGGAAAGAGGGTAATAGTCGAGGAGTTGAGAATAATGGATTTGTTTTTAAATGTTTTAAAATGTTTGTGGTGTATTTTTGTTTTTTTCTCTCTCTCTCTTATTTTGAATTTGTATATGCATGGTTGGAAGTGGCTTGTTTTTCTCTTTTTCTACTTCGTTTTTCTTTTGTAACTTAAATTTTTTTCCCCCCAATAAATATCATTTAAAAAAAAAAAAGAACTTTGCTTCAGGATGAGAACAGAAATTGGGCTCCGTCAGCGCGGTGGCAGCAGGAGGCCCCATTAGCTAAAGTGGTGCTTCAGGTTAAGAACAGTTTCGGGTTAAGTACGGACCTCTGGAACGAATTAAGTACTTAACCCGAGGTACCACTGTAATAGGCTTTCTGGAGCTCAAAAGGCCTGGTCAAGAGGCACGCATCCCTCTGTGAAATTTCAGCTGCCTGAGGCCGAAGCCAAAAGAGCAACAACAACAGCCACATCATTGGCAGGATGAAAGAAGGGAACCTTTTCCTTGCATGCCAGCAACAAAACTGGGTACAGAGCCCAGAAAGAAGCTAGCTATCCAGGTTCTATCTGGGGATATGGAGCAGCGTAGGGAGAGATGGTCAGACAACAAGGTGCTTGTTCCGCAAGGTGGAAGGCCTCACATTGCATCATTATCACAAACATGTTTTGCTCATGGATTTCTTTGTTATTGACTCGGTGGGTGGAAATCCACAGAGGTTTAGCAAGAATTACTGTCATTCTGATAATTCTACTGGAGGAAAATAACCACAGCTTTGAAGCTCTGGACTCACTTTGACATTCAAAGAGGAATGTCTTAAGTTTGCATCATTCTCTACTTGTTGTGGACTCAGGGGATCGGCCTTATTTGCCAGGTCCTGGTCTTCAGCTGATGTGGAGCTGAGTAGCAGTTTCCAACCCAGGGTTTGCTTGTGGCAAACTTAGTTAACTCTGGTTGGTAATGACTTCAGTCCCCCAAGGCTGCCCCATAGGCAGGAGAGGTTTCTGAAAGTTCGGAAGCTTTGCCAACTGGACCTTTGGATATATGGTGGAGGGGAAAAACAACCCATACTCGCCGGTGATGTAATTAAGACAGACGTTATTCTTCACACAAGGGGCACAGGTAGTGCTGTGGGTTAAACCACAGAGCCTAGGACTTGCCGATCAGAAGGTTGGCGATTCGAATCCCTGTGACGGGGTGAGCTCCCGTTGCTCGGTCCCTGCTCCTGCCCACCTAGCAGTTCAAAAGCATGTCAGAGTACAAGTAGATAAATAGGTACTGCTCCGGCGGGAAGGTAAACGGCGTTTCTGTGCCCTGCTCTGGTTCGCCAGAAGTGGCTTAGTCATGCTGGCCACATGACCCGGAAGCTGTCTGTGGACAAATGCTGGCTCCCTCGGCCTAAAGAGCGAGATGAGCGCAGAACCCCAGAGTCATCTGCGGCTGGACCTAATGGTCCAGGGGTACCTTTATATCAGGTTCTAAGAGTAATGGCTGTTCCCCAGGTTTCCCCCCCCCCATACATTTGATTTACTTACATTAGGAAGGGACAGAAGATCACTGGTTTTGATAGACTGGTAGTGCAAGATAACACTATGTCTGTTCCTCTTAAGTGCTACGTAAGAATTATTATTCTGCATTATTATTATTAAGCTATGGTTTTCCCAGTAGTGATGTATGGAGGTGAGAGCTGGACCATAAAGAAGGCTGATTGCTGAAGAATTGATGCTTTTGAATTCTGGTGCTGGAGGAGACTCTTGAGAGTCCCATGAACTGCAAGAAGATCAAACCTCTCCATTCTGAAGGAAATCAGCCCTGAGTGCTCACTGGAAGGACAGATCCTGAAGCTGAGGCTCCAATCCTTTGGCCACCTCATGAGAAGAGAAGACTCCCTGGAAAAGACCCTGATGTTGGGAAAGATGGAGGGCACAAGGAGAAGGGGATGACAGAGGACGAGATGGTTGGATAGTGTTCTCAAAGAAATGGAGGCAGTGAGAGATTTTACTTTCTTGGGCTCCATGATCACTGCAGATGGTGACAGCAGCCACGAAATTAAAAGACGCCTGCTTCTTGGGAGAAAAGCAATGACAAACCTAGACAGCATCTTAAAAAGCAGAGACATCACCTTGCCAACAAAGGTCCGTATAGTCAAAGCCATGGTTTTCCCAGTAGTGATGTATGGAAGTGAGAGCTGGACCATTAAGAAGGCTGGTCGCCGAAGAATTGATGCTTTTGAATTCTGGTGCTGGAGGAGACTCTTGAGAGTCCCATGGACTGCAAGAAGATCAAACCTCTCCATTCTGAAGGAAATCAGCCCTGAGTGCTCACTGGAAGGACAGATCCGGAAGCTGAGGCTCCAAGACTTTGGCCACCTCAGGAGAAGAGGAGACTCCCTGGAAATGACCCTGATGTTGGGAAAGATGGAGGGCACAAGGAGAAGAGGATGACAGAGGACGAGATGGTTGGATAGTGTTATCAAAGCTACCAGCATGAGCTTGACCAAACTGCGGGAGGGAGTGGAAGACAGAAGTGCCTGGCGTGCTCTGGTCCAGGGGGTCACGAAGAGTCGGACACGACTAAACAACAACAGGCCATATCACATTATCTTCACCCACCCACCTGAGCTAGCTAACTTTTGGCGCCATCCTGGGTGCCATCTTAGATTTCAGTTCCACACAGAAACAACTTCGGACTCTTGACAGAGTCAAACTTCCATGGGTGACACAAACATGTTTTTCTCCGCTTGAGTCGAGAAGGGAATCTGGCACCATGTCATTAATTTTTTCATCTATGGAGTAATAAGAATAATGGGTTTTTTTTTACTTCTGAACCCTGCCCCGCCCAAAGCGCCTTGGGATATCTACTCGCCAAGTAAACAGCAAAGTCGGAACAAAACAGCCTTCTTATAAATACACCCTGAACCTTTCCAGTTGGGAATGCGATGGAGAAGGGGGCGACTTGATGTGTGGCTGTTTGTCGCTATTTAAAAAAACAAAAAACTTCAAGGGACTGCGACTCAGTTCGTGATGAATCTGTTTCTAAGCTAGGAGGAGAAGTCTCTTCATGCCAGTGATGTTAATTTGGCTGCTGCTGCTTCTTCTGTTTTGGCTTCTGCCTCAGGTAACCAGCATGGGCTCCAAGAGCAAGTGTCTCTTGACCAGGCCTTTCCGACACCAGGAAGACTATTACAAGCCAGGAGACCTGATTGTTGGGGGGAATCTACCCCTCATCAGCGCCGTCGACTTGATGAAGTACTTCTACATTCCTCCCCAAGACCAGGAATACTGCTCTGACCAGTAAGTGTCTTCAGGAAGGCTCTGTGTTGCCCTGGCTTCAGTGATCTGCGTTAAGGGTGATGCTGACATCTGGAATTCCCTGGTTCAGATTTTGAACCTGTGCAGCTCATAATGCTTTACTTTAGTCCATGTTTTCTTTTAATCATAATTTTTTTTTAAAAAAATTGATTTTCATACCATTTTCAAATAATTTCATCTGCCATTCCGTTTTAGTTGGTATTTTCGCTCCTTTCCACCATTTAGCTATTAACATTCTCGCAGCAGTAGTTGCATACATAAATACCTTTCTGGAATCCTTTGGAACATCTGCAGCTATGATGCCTAAGAGAAAGTCTTCGGTTTTTGATAAAAGTAAATTTGGACTTTTTTTTAGCTCATTATAAATTATTTCCCGAAAGTTTTTTTTCCATCTTATTACATTTCTACCACATGTGGTACATTGTTCCCTCAATTCTTTTATTATTATTATTATTTGTTTTATTTAGGCATACTTGCAAACAAACAAACAAAATAAGATACACACACTTAACCACAAAATTAACGAAAAAAGTAATAAGAAAAAGTAAGAACAAAAGGAACATAAAATACCACACCCATGTGACTTTCCTCCACCAGCTCTTGTCATCTTTAAATCATTTAAATTTAAATTGCATATCATTTATCACTGCAATTACTTCATTTATGATACTATTATAATATAACATCAGGTCATCGTTACAAACTTAGACTTAGTTCTCTCAGATTCTTTACATCTCCAACAAAGAGCTGGTTTTATACATTTTCACCAGCTTGCTAGGTGTAATATACCATTGGTAAAACATCTTCATGTAGTTTTCTTTTAAAGCGAAGCAAGCCGTAAACTTCAAGTCCTTTCTCCAAAGACTTTCCCAAGATGCCATCTGTATGTTATAACCAAAATCTCTGGTCCTGGGCTGCTTCCCAATCCATCACTGATTGTCCAGGCCACAAGGAAAGAGGGTGGAGGGAGAGGAGACAAGGAATAACAGGCTAGGGTTGTGAGGATTTGATGGAGGAGTCGTTGAGAGATGCTCAGGGCTTCCTGATGTCTTGTCAGATCAGAATAAAGTATGTTGTTGTTGTTTAGTCGTGTCCGCCTCTCGTGACCCCCTGGACCAGAGCACGCCAGGCACTCCTGCCTTCCACTGCCTCCCGCAGTTTGGTCAAACTCATGCTGGTAGCTTCGAGAACACTGTCCCACCATCTTGTCCTCTGTCGTCCCCTTCTCCTTGTGCCCTCCATCTTTCCCAACACCAGGGTCTTTTCCAGGGAGTCTTCTCTTCTCATGAGGTGGCCAAAGGACTGGAGCCTCAGCTTCAGGATCTGTCCTTCCAGTGAGCACTCAGGGCTGATAATAAAGAATAAACAGAGCCATTTCCTCACTTTGGGCTCCATCGCAAGCCCTGATACAAAAGAGACATCCAAATCCATACTGTTAAAAAAGTTGGGTGCCTCCTCCTCTCTCTGCCAAGCCGTGGCTTGAGCCCATGGGGTCCCAGGCACTCAACCAGAGTCTGTGGTCCTTTGGAGAATTGAGACATGGCAGAGACTGTCATAGCTTTAAGGAATATGCTTTATTCACCTATTTTTTATATTTCCATTGGGTGGCTGTTTCAGGTAGGGCGTTGTTGTTTCTGAAGGGAGGAACTTGATTCTGCACCTCAGTTAATGGGCTGTTTAGGGTTTGGAAGGCGCTGTCACTGCGAGAAGAGGGATGAGATTTATTGACATCTACTCATCATCCGAGGGATGCGGATGGCGTTGTGGGTTAAACCACAGAGCCTAGGACTTGCCGATCGGAAGGTCGGCGGTTCGAATCCCCGCAATGACGGGGTGAGCTCCCGTTGCTCGGTCCCGGCTCCTGCCAACCTAGCAGTTCGAAAGCACGTCAAAGTGCAAGTAGATAAATAGGTACCGCACCGGCGGGAAGGTAAACGGCGTTTCCGTGCGCTGCTCTAGTTCACCAAAAGCGACTTAGTCCTGCTGGCCACATGACCCGGAAGCTGTACGCCAGCTCCCTCAGCCAATAAAGCAAGATGAGTGCCGCAACCCCAGAGTTGGCCACGACTGGACCTAATGGTCAGGGGTCCCTTTACCTTTACCTTACTCATCATCCATTATGTTGGAACGCGGATGGACATACACACACCTCCACTTCCCCCAACTGCAGGGACATGCCGGTGCCCAAGAACTACCAGCACATCCTGGCCTTGGTGTTTGCCATCGATGAACTCAACGGGGATCCGGCGCTCCTTCCCAACATCACGCTGGGCTTCCGTATATACGATGATAAAGAGAACGTGAGAAGAATCTTTCAGGACAGCCTGTCTCAGCTCTCCACACGGGGGAAACTGGTCCCTAATTACAAGTGTGATCGGCAGGACAAGCTGGTGTCTGTCATTGGGAGTCTCGACATCAAAGCGTCAAGGCAGATGGCATCCGTTTTGGGCCCCCACAAGATCCCACAGGTAAGGAGATTGATCTGGGATAGATGGAAGTGATCTGGAGAACTCCGTGGCATTGCTGCAATGTATAATAATAACAGCAGCAACAACAATAATATAATTTGCACCACACCCATCTTTATTATATTATTACTAATAATAGTAAAGCGATAAAACATCAAACATTAAAAACTTCCCTAAACTGGGCTGCCTTCAGATGTCTTCTAAAAGTCATATAGTTGTTTACTTCCTTGACATCTGATGGAAGGGCGTTCCACAGGGCGGGCGTCACCACCGAGAAGGCCCTCTGCCTGGTTCCCTGTAACCTCACTTCACGCAGGGAGGCAACTGCCAGAAGGCCCTTGGAGCTGGACCTCAGTGTCCGGGCTGGACGATGGGGGTGGAGACGCTCCTTTGGGTATACTGGGCTGAGGCTGTTTAGGGCTTTCAAGGTCAGCACCAACCCTTTGAATGATGCTCAGAATATGTAAACCTGATGGCAGGAGCTTCCTGCAGCCAATCAGAAGCCGCACTTACGAACGTTTTGGAAGTTGAACGGACTTCCAGAACAGATTTTGTTCAACTTCCGAGGTACGACTGTATTCCCAAGGCTCACGAAAACTTAACCGCTCACCTTGTCAGCCCACAAAAATCCTTAGTCGTAGATCAATAATCTGTACATACAAGCCATTTCTCCTGCTATTTTTCTCACACAAACGTCTGACTGGTTTTAACAAACACGAACTCCTCTCTACTAAGCGTTCCATTCCTGCCCAAAACACACAGTGTGTGTGTGTGTGTGTGTGTGTGTGTGTGATAAAAGTTAAAGGTAAAGGGACCCCTGACCATTAGGTCCAGTCGTGACCGACTCCGGGGTTGCAGCACTCATCTTGCTTTATTGGCCGAGGGAGCCGGCGTACAGCTTCCGGGTCATGTGGCCAGCAGGACTAAGCCGCTTCTGGCAAACCAGAGCAGCGCACGGAAACGCCGTTTACCTTCCCGCCGGAGTGGTACCTATCTATCTACTTGCACTTTGACGTGCTTTTGAACTGCTAGGTTGGCAGGAGCAGGGACCGAGCAACGGGAGCTCACCCCGTCATGGGGACTTGAACCGCCGACCTTCTGATTGGCAAGTCCAAGGCTCTGTGGTTTAACCCACAGCGCCACTCACGTCAAGCAAACTTTTAAAATAAAGCTCTTCTTTTTTTCAGCTCGGTTATGGTTTGTTGAACCCTGTTTGGGGAGGAAAAAGCTCCTTTCCTTCTTTCTACCGTATTGACCCTAACGAAGCCTCACAGTACATAGGCTTAATCAAGCTGCTCCTCCATTTCCACTGGAATTGGATCGGGGTCTTTGCTCCAGATGATGAGAGGGGCCAAAATTTCATCCGGACCCTGCGGCCCATGCTCGCGGAAAACGACATCTGCGTCGAGTTTTTTAAAACGATTCCTCGGGACGACTTGATGCGCGATGCTATTTACTTTGATGACCCGCCCGTTTATCGCTGGGAAGCAGAAGTGGCGATTGTCTTCGGGGACAACGTTCTCGTCGAGCAAATAACAGGCCGCTTCTACGCACACAAGAAAGAGACTTACGAGTCGAATTGGAACGTTTGGACCATTTGGATCCTGACTTCCCACTGGGAGTTTTCTGCGATGGGAGTCCCCTTCCACTGGCGGTCTCTAAGGTTATTGAGTGGTGCACTGTCCTTCAGAGCCCACGCAGGAGATGTGCCAGGCTTTGGAGATTTCCTCGGGTCCTTGGATCCAAAGCAGCCCCGGGGGGACATATTCCTCCGCCAGTGGTGGGAAGGTGCTTTTTACTGCGAGTTCATCATAACGGACCGGTTTCCTCCAGCGGAGCTGAAAAACTGTACCGGGGAGGAGAAGGTGGACGACTTGCCCCCGATCTTGTTCGAAAGGAGAATGACAGGCCGCAGCTACGGGGTCTATAACGCCGCCTATTCTGTAGCACATGCATTGCATGTTTTGCACTCGACGAGGACAAAGCGGAACGCGGCGTGGGGTGGCAAGAAGCTTCTGGATCTCCAGCCATGGCAGGTAACAGAATCTCTCTGACTTCAGTGCCGGATTTATGCATAAGCGGGTGGTGCTGTGGGTTAAACCACAGAGCCTAGGACTTGTCGATCAGAAGGTCGGCGGTTTGAATCCGCGCAATGACGGAATCGCCAGAAGCGGCTTAGTCCTGCTGGCCACGTGACCCGGAAGCTGGACGCCGGCTCCCTCGGCCAATGAAACGAGATGAGCGCCGCAACCCCAGAGTCGGTCATGACTGGACCTAATGGTCAGGGGTCCCTTTACCTTTAAACAAGCTACAGCTTAGAGCCCCACTCTCTTGGGGCCCCCCACAAAATTTAAAGGGGGAAACTGGATGTACATTTCCAAAATATAAGATAAAAAACGAATAAAATAAAACCTACACACAGCAACAGTGTTTTGTGTTGTGTAGGCTCCCATGATGTAAGTAAGGGGTAAGCAAACTTTTTCAGCAGGGGGCCAGTCCACTGTCCCTCAGACTTTGTGGGGGGCCAGACTATATTCCCTCAAATAACCCAGAGATGCATTTTAAATAAATGCACATTCTACTCATGTAAAAACACGCTGATTCCCAGA